AAGCCGAATTGGAGGGTGTCCCATGTCTGACAGAGATGTGGTCATTGGGTCTGACAGACTAATGGAATTGGTCCGTGGGTCGGTCGCTGCGGCCACATGGGACCGCTATAACAAGGTTTTTAGGGAATGGCACGGGTGGGGGAGGTCCCATGGGGGCTTCCGGGACTCTGCCACTCGCCTGCAGGGTCTGGTTCTTCTCTTGGGAAACTGGGAGGCCGCTGGGTTTTCTCCCTCTGCCATTTCGGTGCGCGTTTGGCGGGGCTCAGCTTCCTGTTTAAGTTGCGGGGTTGGGAAGATGCTACCAAGGCGTTTATTGTACGCCAGGCACTAAAGGGTTTGGGGCGGGGGAGGGTGTCTGCACGAGATTCGAGGCGTCCTGTCTCGGGCACGCTCTTAACCAGGGCCGGACTGGCCCACCGGGATACCGGGAAATTTCCCGGTGGGCTGTCGGCACCTGGGGCCGGGCAGACACCTGGGTCTGCTGGAGGCCGCTGGGGAGGTCTTCTGGGGGCTTCTGGAGGCCGCTGGGGGACTTGTCCTGGCGGCCGCTGGGGGAGATGCGGATTGGGGAACTTGTGTGCCCCAATCGGCAGCAGGTGGGGGGTGCTATTTGGGGACGTAACATACACCACGGATCGGATCCCGTTCAGGATCCGCAGCTCTAAGACGGATGTCTTGGGGAGGGGAAAGTGGGTCCGGTTGGGGGCTGTGCCGGGTTCCGGCATTTGTCCTGTTTGGTCCTTTGGGGAATATTGCGCCCTGCGCCCTTCTCCCGCGCTGCCCCTCCTGGTGCATGGGGATGATAGTTTCCTTTCATATTTCCAGTTTATTAGAGTGTTTCATTTGGGGCTGGAAGCCATGGGATTGGATAGCAGGGAGTTCAGGGGCCATTCGTTCTGTATTGGGGTGGCTACCGAGGCCTCTAGGCTTGGCATGCCTGCGCAGGTGGTTCAGAGGATTGGTAGGTGGGAATCGAGACGTTATGTTTCCTATGTTCGTCCGGCTGGTTTACTGACAATTTCTTTCCGCAGTTTCGGTTCCCCCCAGGATTTGGATCATCGGCCACTCTTATGTTTACTGGGCTGGGCAGCGTGCTGCGGTTCGGCCTGGAGGCGAGTGGTTGGGTTTCACGCCTTCCGAAGCAGAGGTTCGATGGCTCAGTGCGAGGGGTATGAGGTGGGTTCGACTCCTCCCTGAGTTGGTGCAGCTTTCCCATCTCCTGGGGGTGCCAAGTGTCCTGGTAATCCACCTAGGGGGGAATGATCTGGGTTCAGTGCCCATTTGGGATTTGATTTCGGCAGTGAAGCGGAACTTAGCCCGCATTTTGGTTTTGTTTCTCAAAGTGCGCTTGGTCTGGTCAGAGGTTATTGCCCGTAACTATTGGCGTGGCGCTAGGAGCCAGAGTGTCATCGAGAGTTGCCGACGCAAGTTAAACAGGCGGGTTTTAATAGTTTGCTTTGGGGGTTCGGGGGATCCCAGTCCGCCATAGGGTTTTTGAGCGGGAGGCGGTCAATTTTTTTCGAAGGGATGGCTCGACCTTTTTAATCTCGCCCTACAGGAGGTGGCGGAACAGGCCATGGGTGCTTTTGGTGGGGTTCCCCACTGATTTAGGGGTAAAACAGCGGGTCTGGTGGTGGGGGTATGTCCTTGCCAATTAAGTTTGAGGGGTTATGTTTAAGGATGGAGTGAGTTTCATTATGTTTGCAGGTCTCAACCTCCCCTGCTTCAAAGGGTTAACATTAGGTTGCCTGAGGTGTCGTGCCCATCGAGTGTGGATAAGGTCGGCTGATGGCGGGCATTGGAAGGATATGATTTATGATGAGGGGGAGGTGAGAGGAAGTGGTGATTAGGAACCACTGTATGTTTATTGGCAAGGACGTCATTTATGCTTATTTATGTCTAACAATTTGGTTACAGAAAGAAGAGATTTAATAAAGCGGAGATTTAATAAATAAAGTTATGGATGTGTTATGCAGTAATTTATTTATGTTATAATAAATGCTGTGGCCTGTTCATCCATACTAAGTTGTCTGTCGTTATTGGGGGGTTGAATGGGGTTAGTTATGTTTATGCTGCATCGTAATTCCCCACTACGTACATACATGGTTTTATTTCTTATCCTATCCCATAAACTCCTGATCAGTAGCAGTACAGCTGCTATAATTTTTTCACAGTCTGGTTAAAAAATATCTGATGTTCTCCTTAATGTCACTCTTACGGCTGCAATGATTCTTGTATCTACTGCAATTATAAACTGCATTGGGCAGGTTGAAAAGGGGTTGAATATTTTCTGCACTATAACCTTTGCTACAATGCAAAGTTCTTGTAGTGCTTTTTAAAGTGACACATGCTATGCTAACACATGTATACTGACATTTATTTTTATTTTTTTTTGAACCAGGTGGAATATCCATTTTTGACAGTAGTATTGAAACGCCATTGAGGCACAGTATTTTGAGAAAAAGGAAAAAGTATTGCTTTTCTCACAAGAAATTTGTATTATTATTTTATTATTTTATTATTTATATAGCGTTAACAGATTCCTTAGTGCTGTAAATAACTTCAGCTCTGAAAGCAGATTGTGGTATACGTTTCCTCTGTAAGGACATCGGTGAGGGTACAACAGCTAGATGAGAATATCCTGTTGTAGGAAGTGTTTCCTACTAAATACTATTAGTGTCTAAAATGAATTTATCCCAGGATTAGAAAAATCAAAAGCCCTCTGCGTATATATCACAGCTTGCAAAACTATACTATATGTGATATGGATGAGAGATGGGCACAGAATGTAAAAACAGTTCTGCATATCATGCGGGTATCTCGCGCGGTAGATATGTGGGTGCCATGCCGCACACGATGTCTTACTCCTAATTTGTTTGCTGGCTCCAAGAACAAGACTAACTAGACCAGGGCTGCCCAACAGGTAGATCCCCAGATGTTGTAGAACTACAATTCCAATAATGTATTGCATGCCTTAGAATGACAAAGCATCATGGGAGTTGTAGTTCTACAACATCTGGGGATCTACCTGTTGGGCAGCCCTGAACTAGACCAAGCCTGGATGCCATTAATGGGTTGAATATAATAATGATAATAATAATTATTACTATCTGCAAACTGGTATTCATTATGCTATTATAATCTTTGTTGAGTACTCTATGGTACCTGGTAAATAGTTGGTACAATGACAATTTAGTGCAATCATATCGTGCTTTGTGCCCATCACAATGCCCATTGCGGTTTGCAGACAGCAATGCAGAGCACACACCACATCTATTGAAAAAATGTTCTTAGATAAATCTTGTCTGAGCCGTACACATGTGTTTTAAAATTACCAAACCTTTGATTGAACTGGGGATATTTAGTACATTTCCATTAATTGCAACAGATAATATAGAAAGGATTCCCTAGCTTCCCCTTCTTTTTAAAAATCTATACCATTTACTCGAAAACAAGTTTTATAAGTTATAGTCCAGGTTTAAATTCACAACGGATTTGCTGATCTCTGGGAAAGGGGGGCTCTTGTGTTAAGAATCCAGCTTTATCCACTTACTCTTCATCTCAATCCAATCACTTCCAGGAGCTTGAATGTCAGGAAGTATTACTTTACTGAGAGGGTAGTGGATACATGGAATAGCCTTCCAGCTGAAGTGGTAGAGGTTAACACAGTAAAGGAGTTTAAGCATGCATGGGATAGGCATAAGGCTATCCTAGCTATAAGATAAAGTCAGGGACTAATTAAAGAATTTAGAACATTGGGCAGACTAGAGGGGCAGAGTGGTTCTTATCTGCCGTCACATTCTGTTTCTATGTTTCTATGTCCAGGACAGCCAACCCTATCCTTGCTGGGTATTAAAGTCTACTAAGATACCTACATTAATTAAATGTTAATTCTGAGTGAAATTACAAATGCAAGGTTAAATCTTTCATGCAGTCTTGTTGCTGCTGCTGATCCAAAGAAGGGCAAAAAGCTCCAGCCCAAATCAATTTCTAAGATTGCCTCAAAATAGGGAAATTCTTCTTGATTTAAAAATGGTGACCAGGTTCTCTCCAAGAATCTACCAGTTATTGTTAATAACAATGATTATACCATTATGTCTTTATATTTTGCATTGCTGGAGATGAATCTAACCCATTTAAAAGGCATTTGTTGACTCTGCATAACTCATCTAATCAATAATTGTTATATATTTATTTTCTTACTTGAAAGAACCCTTTCCAGTGCCAAACCTGAAATTTCCTTCCTCAGGTTTCATTTGATTTAGAATTGATTATCTTAAGGTAACCTCAATGAAATGTCTAAAAACTTTAAAGAGACATTTTAGCTTCTTCATCTGATTGAAGGGGTTATAGTGTCTGGAGTACCCTGGCGCCGCGCTTCTATTCAGCGTTAAACTATGTTAAATCATTTAATGCTAAATTAATCTTTGTAGCATCCCATTGCCTCTGTACAGCACGGGCTCAGAGAAAGCATTATCCCAAACAGCTGGTATGAATTGGTATGGCTATAAAGGAGTGTACTCTCTGCTTTAGCCATACCTCTAGTAGATGGCAGGGCGGTGCATGGCTAGACACTCTCATTCAGTGTGAAAATGTTAAAAAATTATTTAACATTGAATGGTTGGACAGCACCAGGGGATTCGAGGCATTATAATCAATTCAATTAGACAAAATTGTTATAATGCCTAGAGCAGGGATAGGCAACCTTCGACACTCCAGATATTGTGTACTACATCTCCCATAATGCTGTTACAACCAAAATACTGGCAAAGCATCAGGGGAGATGTTGTCCACAACATCTGGAGTGCCGAAGGTAGCAAACCCCTGGTCCAGAGTGTCCCTTAGGTAAAGCTTTTCCTGATTATCGAATCTTAAAGTTAGAAATACAATGCCATCAATGTAATAAAATATTTTGTGCAAACATTTTCACATTTTTAAATGTATTAATTCTTTTTTCCCCATGTACAATAAAGGAATACAGATTTATACAATTCGTAGTACTCTTTTAATATATGCTATTTTTGCTTCTTAATTAATTGCTAAACATTTATCCTTAAAAATGATCCTTATATCAGACAGCATTCTGTCATTTCACAACACTGTACAATGAGCGTCTGCATATAGACTGCAATCTTTTTAAGGTAATGGTAAATTTTAAACATGATAAACTGATATCTGATATAATGTCAAGTCAAAAGGTAAGTGATCCTTTCATCTGACTTCAGTTCAGGCAATGGGTCATCAATTGTTCCCAGTTACATTTGTAGTTTCCTCTCAAAATTGTAGTTCACGCTCTGTATTCTGTAATAAAAAGAAATTGAGAAAATAACTTTTAACAATATATTTACAAGCAAACTGTATTATTCTAGTCTGTTGTATCAGAGGCAGGCTAGCTAGTATACAGAATGAACAGCCACTCCCAAAAATATTTTAAAGGAATTTATTTTCATACCACTAGGGGGACATTATAGTTTAACCGAGCCATTCTATGACTCCAGAATGGCTCTGGTTGAGTACCATCTGATTGAGTACCATCTGCACTAGTATTTTTTTTCTGTGCTCTTATTCCCCTATTTATGTATTTAAGTACATCAGAATCTCTACACCTAATTTAATAAGGGGTAAGCAATTATTGCATGTAAATATTATCAAGTGCTCCACTCATTTATTGTTAAGATTTTATCTTGATATTTGTTGGTTTAGTCTGGGTTAAGTTTAGATGCAAGTTTTTCTATGTGGAGGCCAAAAGATAGATTGGGGTCTAACAACATACCCAAGTATATGAAAGAGTGGACTGCGGTCATTGTGCTATTTGATTTTGTTTTGATGCATAGATGGGGATTTTGTAATTTGTGTAATTTAGGTACTGTTCCAAAGATCATTGTGACAGTTTTGTCAGTGTTTAGGAAGAGTTTGTTTTTTGTGGTCCACATTTCTACCTCTGTGAACTGGTCTTGGAGCACAGCCTCAAGTTGCGGTAGATCAGATTTGCTTGCATAGATTACTGTCGTCTGTGTATATGTGTACATTTGAGGATTTGCAGACATTAGGCAGATCATTTATAAATAATGTGAACAGTAGGGGTCCGAGAATGGAACCTTGGGGAACACCACATGTGACTGGGAGAGGGAGTTGCTGTCAGAAATGGACACATATTGTGATCGATCCGATACATATGATCGAAACCAGGTTAGCGAACAATCACCAATACCTGAGTTTTTTTAGTTAGTGCAGTAGAATGTCGTGGTCTACTGTGTCAAAGGCCTTTGCAAAATCAAGGAAAATATCTCCAGTTAGGTCTCCTTGTTCCATGCCAGTTTCGATGTCATTGGAAACTTTTAAGAGGGCAGTTGTAGTGGAGTAATTCTGGTGAAAGCCTGATTGATCAGGGGTCAGATAGATTGTTGGTAATACATAGTTGCGTATGGACGCATTTTTCTTAGATTTTTGACAACACTGTTAGCGATGATATTGGGTGATAGAAACCAAAGTAGTGTCACCACTTTTATGGATAGGCACTACTCTCGCAGTCTTCCAAGGTTTGGGTATATCCAGACACCAAGGATTCATTAATTAGGGTTGTGACAGGTTTAGCAATTGCCAGCGCACTGAGCTTCAACAGCATTTCTGGGATTTGATCAGGTCCAGACTGGTATTTTCATTTTTAGATTATTGAGGTGTTTCTTAATGACACTCATAGGAACAAGTCTAAAATGTAACTTGTTTATATTGGGTCTTTGAAAATTTAGTAGGGCCTGATCCACATCTGTAGTTTCACGAGGAGTGTCATTTATTAGCTTGGCAAGCAGGGTGGTGGAGCATCCGACAAAATGATTGTTAAAGGCATTTGCTACATCTAAGGGAAGTTGCAGGGTTTGGTTATCCACTTTGATGTTGGAGGGTTGGAAGTGGATTGGGGGAGTTTGTAATTTATTTATGACTTTCCAAAAGTTTCTAGGGTTTGAAATGTTATTGTTCATATTTTCATGGAAATATTGGGCCTTGGACAATTTTGTTTGTTTGATATATTTCGCCATTGTCTATATGCACAGTGATCGTTCATAGAGCCACTAGGTGAAGTGCAAGCAAATGTTCTTAGTACTTTTACACATTTATTACATTTTTTATGAAGAACCTATATATTCATCATATAATTACATTTTGGTTTGTCTAGTGGTTTTTTGATAAAAATTTTTTTTTTCTATGAATGTCTATAGATATGGAGTTATACATATTTAGCACTTCATAGTAACATTGCTTACCTTTCAGTGTCTTCCTCGGGCATTTTCACTTCTAGAGTTTGTGGATTTGTTTCATATTGTTGTTTTTGGAGGTGTGTTGCTTTCACAAACTGTAGTGGTGACTGTGGGAAACGGCCATCAAATAACGATCTTCCAAACCTCTGGGGCAAGTTGGTTGCTGATTGGATATTGGCCTTCCTAGGAAGATATCGTCCAAATCGTTGAGGTAGGTTAGGGATACTTTTTGTTACTTTGTCTTCAGAACCTCTTCCAAACCTCTGGGGCAGGTTAGCAGCTGGCTTGACTCCTCTTTCCTCTAGAAACTGCCTTTCAAGATGTACAGGTAATTGGCTATATTTGTTCAGTATAGCAGAGCTGATTTCATTGAATCCATCTGGTAACCAAAATTTCAGTTCTTCAGAATCAACATTTCTCCGGTTTTGGATATCGTCTCTGGACTTTAAAAAAAAAAAAAAAACACAAAAAAAACAAACTCAATTAAATATAAAGCATAATAGAAACATAGACATAGAAACATAGAATGTGACGGCAGATAAGAACCCAAATGCCAAATGCCCATGTAGTCTGCCCAACTGTTCAAATACTTTCATTAGTCCCTGGTTTTATCTTATAGTTAGCATAGCCTTATGCCTATCCCACGCATGTTTAAACTCCTTTACTGTGTTAACCTCTACCACTTCAGCTGGAAGGCTATTCCATGCATCCACTACCCTCTCAGTAAAGTAATACTTCCTGATATTATTTTTAAACCTTTGCCCCTCTAATTTAAGACTATGTCCTCTTGTTGTGGAAGTTTTTCTTCTTTTACATATAGTCTCCTCCTTTACTGTGTTGATTACCTTTATGTATTTAAATGTTTCTATCATATCCCCCCTGTCTTGTCTTTCCTTCAAGCTATACATGTTAAGTTCCTTTAACCTTTCCTTGTAAGTTTTATCCTGCAATCCATGAACCAGTTTAGTAGCCCTTCTCTGAACTCTCTCTAAAGTATCAATATCCTTCTGGTCTCCAGTACTGCACACAATACTTCAAGTGAGGTCTCACCAGTGTTCTGTACAATAGCATTAGCACTTCCCTCTTTCTACTGCTAATACCTCTCCCTATACAACCAAGCATTCTGCTAGCATTTTCTGATACTCTGTTACATTGTCTGCCTACCTTTAAGTCATCAGAAATGGTCACCCCTCAATCCCTTTCCTCAGATGTTGAGGTTAGGACTCTATCAAATATTATGTACTCTGCCCTTGGATTTTTACGTCCAAAATGCAGTATCTTGCACTTATCCACATTAAATGTCAGTTGCCACAACTCTGACCATTTTTCTAGTTTACCTAAATCATTTGCCATTTGGCTTATTCCTTCTGGAACATCAACCCTGTTACATATCTTAGTATCATCAGCAAAAATACATACCTTACCATCAAGACCTTCTGCAATATCACTAATAAAAATATTAAAGAGAATGGGTCCCAGTACAGATCCCTGAGGTGCCCATGCTTTGAATATACTGCATTGACTACAACCCTCTGTTGCCTGTCACTCAGCCACTGCCTTACCCATTCAACAATATTGGAATCCAAACTTAAAGATTGCAGTTTATTGATAGGCCTTCTATGTGCAACAGTGTCAAAAGCCTTACTGAAATCTATGTAAGCAATGTAGTGATGTCCCGAACTGTTCGCCGAACTGTTCGCCACGGTTTGCCGCGAACGGTTCGCCACGGACTCCAGTCAGCAGACACATTGCAGCCAATCAGCAGCAGACCCTCCCTCCCAGACACTCCCACCTTCTGGACAGCTCACTAAGAATGCAACTTCAAAATGGATGCTGTCCAGGAGTTGGGAGGGTCTGGGAGGGAGGGTCTGCTGCTGATTGGCTGGAATGTGTCTGCTGACCGGAGTTCGTGGCGAACAGTTTGCGAACAGTTTGGTGAACCGTTCGGGACATCACTAAAGCAATGTCTACTGCACCACCCTGATCTATTATTTTAGTTACCCAATCAATACAATCAATAAGATTAGTTTGGCATGATCTCCCTGAAGTAAACACATGTTGTCTCTGATCTTGAAATCCATGTAATTTTAGATGTTCAACAATCCTATCCTTTAACATGGTTTCCATTACTTTCCCCACTACTGAAGTAAGGCTTACTGGCCTGTAGTTGCCCGACTCCTCCCTACTACCTTTCTTGTGAATGGGCACAACTTTAGCTAACTTCCAATCTTCTGGGACTACTCCTGTTAACAATGATTGGTTAAATAAATCTGTTAATGGTTTTGCTAGCACACCACTAAGCTCTTTTAATAACTTTGGGTGTATTCCATCAGGTCCCATTGACTTATTTGTCTTTACTTTTGACAGTTGAAATAGACCCTCTTCCTCTGTAAACTCACATGTAATAAATGACTCATTTGTCCTTTCTCCTAACTGACGCCTCTTTAATTCATTTCCATCTATAAATACTGAACACAAATATTAATTGAGGCAGTCAGTTAGAACTTTATAGTCTTCTACATACCTTCCTTATTTTGTTTTTAATCTAACTAATCCTTGTTTTACTATCCTTTTCTCATTTATGTATCTAAAAAATGTTTTGTCCCCTTTTTTTTACTGACTGTGCTATTTTTTCTTCTGTGTGTGATTTGGAAGCTCTTATAACTTGCTTAGCCTCTTTTCCCTAATCTTATAGATCATTCTGTCTTCCTCACTCTGTTTTTTTTTATATAATTACTAAATAATACATTTTTATTTGTACTATTCTGGCCACATCTGCAGAGTACCACAGTGGTTTCTTGAATTTTTTGCTTTTACTGACAAGCCTAATGCAATTTTCTGTGGCCTTCAGCAGTGCAACTTTTAAATAATCCTATTTCTCTTGGACTCCAGTCTGATAATGACTCCTTTACACATATTCTAATTTTAGAAAAGTCTGTTTTTCTAAAGTCTAAAACTTTTGTTTTTGTGTGGTGTGACTCAGTCACTGTTCTTATATTAAACCATACTGACTGATGATCATTGAATCCTAAACTTTCACCTACTGTAATATCTGATACCAAATCTCCATTTGTTAACACTAAATCTAGTATGGCCTCTTTGTGAGTTGACTCCTCAACTACTTATTTTAGAGACAATCCCAGTAGGGAGTTTAGAATATGTGTGCTCCTGGCACAAGCAGCGATTTTGGTTTTCCAGTTCACATCAGGAAGATTAAAGTCACCCATTATGATAACTTCCCCCTTCATTGTCATTTTAGCTATTTCCTCAACTAGTAGATTATCCAACTCTTCTCTTTGTCTCAAGGGCCTATAAATCACACCTGCACGAGTTACTGTGCAATTACCAAATTCTAAGGTAACCTAAACGGACTCTATGTTCGCCTCACTAACTTTTATTAGGCTAGATTTTATGCTATCCTTCACATACAGGGCCACTCCTCCCCCTTTCTTGTCTTCCCTGTCTTTTCTATATAAAGAGTACCCTGGTATTGCTATGTCCCAGTCATGTTCTCATTATACCATGTCTCAGTAACATTAATGTAAATCTACATTATCAGTTGCCATTATTGCCACAAGTTCATGGATCTTATTCCCTAAACTGCGAGCATTTGTAGACATGGCTCTAAGCTTATCATTTTTTAAACACAGTTGCTACAGGCACCTTCTGTCCTTGTTTTGGGCAGCAATTGGATTGATGTTTTATCACCCTTTTGCCCCCCCTCCTAGTTGAACTACATTCTAGCAAAACCTCTGAACTGCTCACAGAACATTTGTTCCCTTTTGAGAAAGATGCAAACCATCTTTTTTGTACAGTTTATTTCCATTCCAAATGATTATATTTTACATTCACTTGGGCTGGAATAAGCAACTCACGCTGACTGGACCATACTACATAATCCCTGTGTCACATCAAACAACTACATTTGTGGAGAATTGGAAAAAAACAGCTTTGCAGAATGTATGCCACAAAAATGGAATGAGAAACAAAGGTAAAATTCTCTGCTATTTTGACTTTTTTTTTTAGCTTAGCTGGCAGTTTACATATTTCACTGTTTAGCAAAAGCAAACATATTTGTTGCTAATCAGAAGAAAACTCCTTTTCAGGTCCGTTACAAACAAATATTAAAGGGTCACTCTAGGCTCCATGCCAACCTGTACTCATTATAGAGGTTATGATGCAAGGAGGTCCTTTGTGACTTTAGCTGTGACAATTTGCAAAATCACCACGGTTATAAGACTTCTCCTCTAGGGACTGACAGCAGATTTTCCTGAGTAACCTATTTTGTTTATTTTTTGGGCTATTTTTTTAACGCAAAATGGTTTAATGCACCACTATTAGTAAACGGCAACATCTAGCCTACAGTATTATTTTAATGAGTAAATTCAAGTTGATTGGTTGTAATTAAAAATCATTTTATAGAGTCTATTTTAATTTTTATAAAAAATTTGGATTAACCTGATTGGGGCAATATATCCTAAACAGATAGGGTGGGTAGTTGTAATTTTTTGAACTGTAGCAACACGGGAAATCACGCATACATCTGTATTGAGATGCATATATCAATGGAGAGGGTTTCTAATCAATGCCGTCACTCTATAGTTTATTATACGTGGTTACAGTTGTAATGAAAATTATTCAACTGCATTGAAAATCAGGTTTATTGTCAAAATTTACAGACTTTCAGCTGTTTGCAATAAGCAAATCAAACAAAAGCAATTGAAATAGCTCAGCACAACAAATGCTTCAAGTGGTTTCCCCAAATTCAAATTAAAATGCAACTTATACTTCTCCAATAAGTGACTCCCCATTCACTTAACTGGCTTGGAAAGAAATGTACTTTTTCCATGCCAGTTTAGTGAATGGGGAGACACTGATTCGCTGTGAGAGCGTCTGCTGACTATTCTCAGCCAATCAGTAGTGCCTCTGTCCAGTTGCACCACTCACATCCTGAAAGTTAATCAGAAGCTGGATGGGTTGGAGAGTGGACATCGCCGCTGGAAGCACCTTTCTAGTTAAACTGTTTGAGAAAGGTTTAACTCATTGAGGTAAGAGTGCCTCCTGTGGCCTCCTGGAACCATAACAACTTAATTTAAATGAAGTTGTTTTGATGACTGAAATGTCCCTTTAACTGCTTGATTCACTGGACAATGGAACACTTTAATTAAAGACCGGATGAAAACCTGTTTACCAGTCATTTTCAAAACCACAACTGGTTAAATAAGGGATAAAACAATATGTTCACCTGTTTTGACTTCATAACAACCATTCTTTATTGTTCTTAATTTTTTGTCTATTTCTTATTGCTTGAAATTGTCTCTGTGATTTGACTGATAATACCCTACGCATGACGGAACACAGTTAATGTTCTATTTTCTGTAAATTTGACCAGCTTCTTAACTAAATGATAATAAACTTAGTGATAATTTATTTGTCGTATAAATTGTCTACATTTTATCAATCACCCAGTTGGAACAAAATCGGGTGCTAAATCCTGCACTATTAGGTGTGCATAGGTGTGCATAGGGAGTAATGTGAAGTTCACTAGCTGTAGGCTAGCACTATGGTTTATTCTATGAAACACAATATACAGCATGTAGTCACATTCACAGAACCTCAGCCACTAAAGCTCAATTTTTGCTGCTTTGTTTTAAAATATACTATTTCTGAGCCATAATAAGCTAGGTTCTGTAGATAAATAACATTCTATAATGTATCAATATTCCCTAGAGAGCCCAACTGGAGAAATGCTCATTCATGAACTCTTGGTGGTCTATAAGGGCTGCTTCAAGAATTACTGCTGTAATCTGACCTAACACATTGCTCTGGAGGTTTGCGTTTTCAAGAAATTAGGATTAACCAGAAAATGAAGACACGAAATGACAAAATAAAAAGGTGCATGTAATTTCTTACCTCAAAAAAATCCTCATATTTCTCTTGACTTTCTAAATTCATTGCCGTTTCATCTAAACAGACAGAAGAAGAGAAAAAGATCGGTGATATGCCTAGAATAAAAAACAGAATCTTGCTAGCATAGAACATCTCCATTTTCTCAGTTGGGTCTACTTTCTTATTTCCTCTTCATATTGAATCATGGTGCATTTCCTTTTATAAATAGTCTGAGAACAAAACATAATTTTTTTTTACAAATGACTGACGAATCTTCCTGATGTTAATTATTAATGGATCCTTAAAGAACATAAAGAATCTGAAGAATTTGTTTGTTGAGACCTTTTCAATATGATTCCACCTAGTAAACATTACTTTTCAAATATTTTTCATGTAATTAGCAACTAATTAATTAGATGACTTTCAAGTCCAGAACAATTAGGTCTGATACAAACATGTGCAATTAGCACATACTTCGTCCTCTTGTTGTTTTTTGAATACATCATTCATTTTTCTGTGCTATATTTAACAAGTATGGCCTCTTAATTAATGTAAAAGACATATGGGGGGGAGGGGAAGGGAGATTGGCAGAATCAGTGTATCCATTTGATCAGCATTTTTGCATATTTTGCACCACATTCTGAGGTCTTTATAGTTGTAAACACCAAAGCACCTTTCCTGTTTACAATAAAACATATTTGCTGTTAATAAATATAATACATGTTGGGGAATGTGAGACCTCAGCATGCAACAAGGGCCATGTTCCAGATCTATGCTGCTCTTTTGTGTAGGATTGAAAGTAAAATAAAAGATGTTAATAAAAATGTTAAACATAAAAACAGATATTAATAATACATGCTGTGTGCTGTTAATTAAGGGTAATAAGGGGGGAGAATTGGCTTTCTCAAATGTTTCATATTTAAAAAATATCTAGAGTTTCTAAGATTCCATGAACCAGGGTAGGCCGAGAGATTTGCCTCCCTGCTCTCTCTTGACCCTGTGTACAGGAGGGAGTGAAGTGAAGACTTTACCAGACAGACATTCAGTGAATGACTTCCCTTTCAGAGGTTAAGATGGTGCCCAATCACTCTGGTAAATAGCAATTTGCGTTGTGATTTGTATAGTTTCCTATTAAGCAATTTTGTGCTGTTCAAAAACTTTAATTTTTTTTACTTTTGCATATGTTTACAACAAGAATCTAGTAAATCAACATGCCAGTGCATACCACCCAGGTGTCCCAATTTATGAGAGACAGTCCTACTTTTATGCCTAAGTCCCTCTGTCCCTCTTTTCGATCCTAATGGCGCTCTTTTCTTGAGTTCCACAGCGTTGGTGTGTCTGAGTGTATAACAGAACTCCACAGCAATAATACTCACAGTAATATGTCTTTAATCTAAAAAAAAGATATTAAATCAGTCTGTGTAGATATATTTAGTGCATATTGTTCTAACTTACATTTTAGTGGCAAAAATTGCTACTAGTAAGTCACTTAAAATATCTCAGAACAGCTCACACCCCTAAAATTATAGTGCCCTTCTCTGTCCATTTGAAATGTTGGGATATATGCAAGTGTTATGAATATTTATGACATTTAGACTAATAACTAATTACTAATATGTGTAAAAATATAATATATATTTATATGTATTAAAATAAGAATATGTTAAAAAATTCAAAATAACATATAGGAATCCAATATTTTTAGCTACACTGTAAAAGTTTGATGTGCGTCAAAGAAAACTCTACTGGAGATTTAAAACCATTGCCTATCTAACATTAATTATAGAGTTGTTTTAATTATTGATCCAAAACTCAAGTATTTATTTATTCAGACTGAACTTCTTCATTATGCATAGCATAGCATAAATACTTGAACTTAATTAGAATTCTACGTACCATTCCTTTTGGTGCTAAGCAATTGAACATAATATGCTCATGTGTCATGTTACATATATGAAAATATTTTATTTAGTCATTGAAATTATAAATTAAAGGGATTTGGTTCATTATATACTATAAAAGCAAGTCTGTGGGTTTTAATAACTACTCTCTAATTATTCCAAATAAAAGTAATAATTCTAAAGGGCAAGTTTGAACCCGAATCTTGCAGGGGCACTATGGCAAATTGCTTTGTTCCAACAAGGCAGTTAGAAAAAGAGACCCTTGTAGTATGTTCTAAGACACACATTAATGTTCTTACATATTGTTTTATCTATTATACTGATACTAAAACATTTACATGGTGAGTATTATAACTGGTAGATGGCTAGCAATGCAAGCAAAGACATAAGAGGTTTATTTACTAAATACTAAATAATAGTACTTCTAAATAATAATTAAATACATAAATAATACAGTCATTTGTAGTGAACTAAAACAAAAAAGAGATTGTTGTCAGCTCTGCCATTTTGGGCCATAATTTGATCTGCAAAAGTAAATTACTTCAACACCCTCATAAGCACTCTGTCCCGCCAACCCAAATGCCTATTTCACACTTGCTCCACATCCTCCTACCACCCTGTCCGCCTCAAACTTTGCAACTCACTTCACTGAGAAGATTTCGACAATCAGGGAAGAGATCTCTAACCTCTCTCCCTCCCCTTCCAAATATATCTCCCAATAAATCACCCAACCCCACTCACTCCACTGTTCTATGTTCATTCGCATCTACTACAATGGAAGAGGTTTCTGCTCTGCTCCGGTCCTCTCACCCCACCACCTGTTTCCTCAATCCTATTCCCTTATATCTCTTCCGCACTCTGTCTCCCTCTCTTGCTCTTCCTCTCACAAAAATTTTAAATTTCTCCCTTTCCTCCGGCACATTTCCTTCGCCCTTCAAGCGTGCAACCATAATGCCAAATCTGAAAAAGCCCAACCTTGACCCCAACTAGCCATCCAACCACTTCCCTATATCGCTACTGCCATTTGCCTCCAAGATCCTTGAAAGAGTTGTGTATGTAAGATTGACAGACTTCCTTGAATCCAACTCTCTGCTTGACCCGCTTTAGTCTGGATTCCGCGCTCGTCACTCTGTTGAGACAGCTGTGACCAAAGTATCCAATGATTTAATTGCTGCTAAATCTGTTTACATTACTCTATCCTAATTCTCCTTGATCTTTCTGCTGCCTTTGACACTGTTGATCATCAACAGCTTCTTCTCATTCTCCATAATCTCAGTCTACAAGATATTGCTCTCTCCTAGTGCTCCCACTACCTCTCCCAGTGCTTCTTTCTCTGGCTCTGCCTCTTCTCACCAACCCCTCTCTGTTGGCGTTCCCCAAGGTTCTGTCCTTGGTCCCCTACTGTTCTCCATCTATACTGCCTCCCTTGGTAAACTCATCAGCTCCTTTGTCTTCCATTATCATTTATATGCAGATTACACACAAATCTACCTGTCCTCTCCTGATCTCTCTCCGCCCACCTTGACTCGTGTCTCTGACTGCCTCTCTGTGATTTCCAACTGGATGGCTGCTCACTTCCTTAAATTCAACCTGTCCAAAACAGAACTTCTGGTCTTTCCTTCCTCAAGTGTTCTTTCTTGTCTTGAGTACTGCAATCCCCTTCTCAGTGGTCTTACGTGTTCCCAGATTGCACTGCTGCAGTTGATAATGAATGTGGCGGCAAGGCTCATTTTCCTGTCTGCCCGCGCCTCCCACGCCCTCCCCGCTCTGTCAGTCCCTACATTGGCTTCTGGTTAGATATAGGGCTCAATTTAAGATTCTGGTGCTTGCTTACAAGTCCCTACATAATGCTGCTAAACCTACCTATCCTCCCTAATAGACAAGTATGTCCCGTCGAGGAAGACCTACGTCTATCCTCTGTCCATACTCCCACATCTGATGCTCGCCTCCAAGACTTCTCCAGGGCTGCACCTTTTCTGTGTAACTCCCTTCCCTTCTCCGTTAGACTTTCACCCAGTCTCCACTCCTTCAAAAAATCTTTGAAACACTTTTCTTCAGGAAAGCATATCATTTAAACTGTTAGCGAATTTTCATATCCCCCCCCCATGACTCCTCTCCTGCAACTGCTAGGCATGTTCCTCAGTGAATACTTTTCTAGCAACCTATTTCATTACCCCTACTTATACCCTTTGTGTCACTATACCCCACTCCCTCTAGCATGTAAGCTCATTGAGCAGGGCCATCAACCCGTCTGTTCCTGTGCGTCCATTTGTCTGGTTACGATTACGTGTCTGTTAGTCCACCCATTGTACAGCACTACAGAATTTGCTGGTGCTATATTATAGTAATACAATAATAATAATAATAATAATAATAGAAAAGAGAGATATACTTATCTAGAGCCTTCACAAAAACATATTATGGCCATTTTTTGTTCTCGTTTGTACCCAGAAAACCTGTAGTTGTTTTGGTGCTAAAAATGTTCAGCTTGAAAAACTACCTGGGTTCTGCCCCTGTGAGCATGCTTCATCTCCTTATCCAGTTTTCTACAGCAGGAGAATCTAGATTGAGATTGATCTATAGAGCACAGCAGAGCTACGCTGGACCACGCTCATTGCCTTAGAGTGTTAGTTGAATGCTCTCAACCAATGAGCATAGTCCTGAATTTGCAGTGTTTTATTATACAGAGACATCCAGTTTCTTTTGCAGGAGAATTGCACCTGGTGGGACTCAGATAAGTTTCCAAACCTTACTAAAACAGTTTGACATCCTGGGGCATGGTACGTGGAGTGTTCCTTTAATAGAGCATTTGACATATGCAGAGACAGGGTGGTTATAGTATTACATGGCTGGTGAAAAGGGGAAGTGGGGAACTTAACTATTGAGAGAGGAAAGCATAGGGATAAAGCTGAGGTTTCAAGTTTACCTCTGTCTATTTGTGGATTACATTTGCCATGGTGCCAAGACAGCACCACACCAGTGAATGTTTGGTAGCGATGCAGTACCACATATCATGTGATTTTCTTAATCTCTGCAATTAAGGGGATACTATTTGCACCAAAACAACTTTAGCTTAATGAAGTAATTTTGCTGTAGAGTGTTCCTTTAATAGAGCATTTGAGTGGAGTGGAGTGTTCCTTTAATAGAGCATTTGACATATGCAGAGACAGGGTGGTTATAGTATTACATGGCTGGTGAAAAGGGGAAGTGGGGAACTTAACTATTGAGAGAGGAAATCATAGGGATAAAGCTGAGGTTTCAAGTTTACCTCTGTCTATTTGTGGATTACATTTGCCATGGTGCCAAGACAGCACCACACCAGTGAATGTTTGGTAGCGATGCAGTACCACATATCATGTGATTTTCTTAATCTCTGCAATTAAGGGGATACTATTTGCACCAAATTGCTGTATAGATCCCTTCCCTGCAGTCTCCCTGCTCAATTCTCTGTCATTTAGGAGAGAATTGCTAAACAGGGAGTTGTGTAGAGTTCCAACTTGCTTGGCTACCCATGAAAAATGCTTGTTTAGTTTTCATAGCCATAAAACAGTGCAGTCATACAATTTATTGTATTTCTATTAACCCCTTGAATGTAGCCATTCCTTATTGTTCTCCCTAATAACTTTTCTCCCCCACCTTCACCTACAATAGGGAGGAGATTATTTCTCCTCGTTGCTCAAACTTGTGCAGAATAAGAGCCAGTCAGGTAAAATGTACTTTTCTTTCGCTCCTTTACTTAACCCCAACCTTCCAAGTAACGGGTAGTGAGAGTAGAAGCAGTTCTCGTTCAGTGCAATGTTAGTACTTTCAATCTGAAGAAATCTTACTGCTGGTGGTAAAGCTGCAGGATTAGTGACATACGGCATACCTTGCAGTGGTCATTGACTGCTTTTGTGGTTCTCCTTGTGTGCAGGGCTTGTAGTGGGTGGCTGGGATATGACAACACATCGTTTTTGTTGCTGTAGCCTATCTCAGAGAACACGGCACAGAAAGGATTGACAGGCAATCTCCATACACATCACCTGTCACTGTTCCTGTAGTTTTTTTTTTTTAATTCTATATTTTTGTAGTGCTTAGAGTAACAAACATGCCTATATCACCATGACAGCAGATACAAGCCGCTGAGATATCACAAAATAAACAATATCATGGCATTAAATGACAGCACATTTTTCAGATTAATATAGGAATAGTAAATGAACAGTGCATGCGTGATACATAAACAGTTAACAGTATAGATTGGTTATATGCACTCTATATGAGTCAAGTTTTGTTATCTTCACGTGTGGCTAAGATCTATGTTTAACCAAAGTAGGACCTATTGAGAGTTTGCATGCTTGAGTGTGAGTGATTAGTTAGGAGCCACCTTTGGTGTTAGCATCCCCTAGAGCTTATTCTACTAGCATTCTATTGTTGACAGCAGGGTTAAGATGCCGTTCGAGGGCTAGATGTATGTTGCTGAATATGAGGGTTAGGATGATCTACTTAGTTTAAAAATAGCTATGCCCTTCACCCAGAGATTCGTTATGCTATATACATTCCACATAGGGGGTCGTTTTGAGTTATGTGTAACGCTTTAAGTGTACCATATGTTAAACATGTTTAAGCTATACTTACTGTGTTTCAGGGTGTTATGGAGGGCTAGCTGTGCCCTTGTTTACAGTCATGCATTGCGTCTAGCCGATATCCCGCCGGGTTGACACAGAGTCCAGTTGTGAAAGTCCCAGTATTGAGCCCTTCCGTCTGTTGCTGCGAGGACCTGTGTGAGGTGCGATGGAAGATGATGCGTCTAGTGAGGTCTGTTGGGGCCCCTTCACCGGCATCCGGGTTTGGTGCAGTGAGGAATGGTGATCTCCGACCGGCTTCCTGGCTGCTGTCGGTGAGGTGTTGAGCTGAAGGGGGTCCTGTCGTGATGTGCGGTGCGGCCGCCTGGATTTCATTTTTGGCAGGAAAGGCCTCCTTCTATGGTGCCGTCTCTGAGCTCCTTTCGGCGGTATGGCTGCTCTTCTGTAGGTGGGCTGTGCAATCGTTTCTGTGTGTGAGAATGCCTCCATCTCTGCTTGCCTCTCCCTGCTTGCCATTTTTCCCCAGAAGGCATTGAATATAGCGTTAAGTCTTGATAGAGTGTCGGCTCCCTCGTTGCTGCGTTTGGCGTTGCATGTGGCGTCCGCCATTGTGTGGGCCTCTGCTTTGGTAGGTTGCTTGTTTTGCCCCGCTGCCTGTAGCTTTTCTAGCCCAGTTGCTTTCGGGGAGTGGACCAGGACCACCCCCGCTGGTCCTTGGGGGGGCAGGAGATCCGTTGCCTCGGTGTGTGGGTGTAACGAGAATATACCCCTACACGCAGGATCCAGCTAAACAGAGGCAAATACAGAGGAGAGATACGTCTACCGGACCTTAGAATGGCCGGACTTGACGTATATGAGAGAAGACAGAGCCAGGAACAAACCGAGGTCAAGGGCACAGAGAGACAGCGTAAACTAGGACAAGCCGGGGTCTGGTACACGGAAAACAGCAAGCCGGCAAACAGTACAGATAAGGATAAAGCGAAAACGAAGTCAGAATACGAAGCCAAAGTCAATACGAGAAAACACAACTGAACACCACAAGCGCTAAAGGGAACTGAAACAGAAACCACGATAGGGCAAGGAACAAAGGGAAGAAGGTGAGTATAAATACCTAAACATCTAATTTGATTGGTCCCTGTCACATCCACGCCCCCAAAAGGTAAGTGTATGGGGAGTGTGGCATGACAGGGACCAATGGGATGCCTTTTCCAATTTAGGCACCCACTGTCCCTTTAAGAGCGCGCCCGAGACTCGCGGCGCGCTCTTAGTTTCAGGCGGGACACGTGACCGCCTCACGCGGTCACTGCCCGCCCTCCATCCGAAGTAGTTGGATGAGCCGCGCGCGGCTCGTGCAGCCGCAGGACCGCGCGCGGCTTGAAGAGAGGACCGCGACCGGCCCCCGGTTAAGGTAAGTAACGCTACAGTACCCCCCCCTGAGGACACGCCCCCCGGGCGGGTAGGACCAGGCCTGGCAGGAAAACGTGAATGGAAAGAGCGCACAAGACGGGGAGCATGGACAGCATCGGCCGAAATCCAACTGTGCTCCTCAGGCCCATAACCCTTCCAATGTACCAAGTACTGAAGTCGACCCCTAAGGAAACGAGAGTCAAGAACAGCAGACACTTCAAACTCCTCATGACCCTCCACCGAGATAGGAGGGGGAGGAGGAGTATGCCGGGTATAGCGGTTGCGTACGAAAGGTTTCAACAATGAGGTGTGAAAAACATTAGGAATACGTAGATTCTTAGGCAGGCCTAAGGCATAAGAAACAGGATTAACCTTATGTATAATACGATAAGGTCCAATGAAGCGGGGAGCCAATTTCATAGAAGGCACCCGGAGACGAATATTCCGCGTGGAAAGCAAAACCCTGTCCCCCACAACATAGGACGGAGCTGCTCTGCGATGCTTGTCAGCCTGAGCCTTCTGGCGAGTAGCAGAGTCCACCAAAGAACGCTGAACCTGCTCCCAAGTATTACGCAAACCAGCCAAATGCTCATCCAGAACTGGCATGCCCTGTGAGGAGAATGCAGCCGGAAGAACAACGGGATGCTGGCCATAGACAACGTAAAAAGGGCTCTTGCCGGAAGAATCATGAGTGGCGTTATTCCGAGCAAATTCAGCCCAAGGAAGCAGGTCAGACCAATTGTCCTGATGGTGAGACACAAAACAACGGAGGTATTGCTCCAGAGACTGGTTGGCACGTTCAGCAGCCCCATTAGACTGGGGATGATAAGCGGAAGAAAATGAGAGAGAAATACCCATTTCTGAACAAAAGGCCCTCCAGAACCTGGAAATAAATTGGCTACCCCTATCGGATACAATAGATACGGGAATCCCATGTAATCGAAATACTTCTCTAGCGAAGATATGAGCCAGTTCCTTAGATGTGGGCAACTTGCGAAGAGACACGAAGTGAGCCATTTTGGAGAACCGATCCACTATCATCAGGATTACTGTGTTACCATTTGAAGGGGGTAATTCAACAATAAAATCCATGGACAGGTTAGACCAAGGTCTCTCGGGAACGGGTAACGGATGCAACAGCCCACAAGGAACTCTACGGGAGGATTTCATACAGGCACAAGTAGTACAAGCACTTATATAGTCAGTGACATCCTTTCGTAAGGAATCCCACCAAAAATACCGAGAAACAGCTGACACCGTTTTGGAAATACCAGGATGTCCAGCGGTCTTAGTATCATGATATAATGACATAATATCCCGTCTCTCAGGAACATCAACGAACAGTTTATCATTAGGCCTCTCGCTAGGTGCCATGCTTTGTTTCGCTTGTATGGCCTGCAAGAGGGACGAGGAAATAGACAAAATAGTAGTAGCTATTATCCTGTCTGGGGGAATGACAGGAGTAACATCAATCTCCTGTTTGTCAGTAGTTTCGAACTGTCTGGACAGAGCGTCTGCTTTAGTGTTGCGATCACCTGGCCTATAGGTGATAATAAAATTGAAACGAGACAAAAATAGTGACCACCTAGCCTGCCTGGAAGACAATCTTTTGGCTTCGCTAAGATAGGATAGGTTCTTGTGATCCGTAAAAATGAGGATAGGATCCTTAGTTCCCTCTAACAAATGTCTCCACTCTTTAAGTGCTAAAATAATAGCAAGGAGTTCACGATTACCCACATCATAATTTTTCTCTGCTTTGGACATTTGTTTAGAAAAGAAGCCGCATGGATGCAATGGCTTCTCAGGCGACTCTCTTTGGGATAAGACAGCACCTACCCCAATATCCGAAGCATCAACTTCAAGAATATAGGGCAGTGAGGGGACAGGATGCTGTAAAATAGGTGCAGAGGCGAACGTAGTTTTAAGAAATTCAAAAGCCTGAAGTGCCTCGGTAGACCAAACACGAGTATTGCCATCCTTTTTAGTCATACGGGTAATAGGTGCTACAATGGACGAGAAACCTTTGATAAAACGCCTATAATAATTGGAGAACCCAAGAAAACGCTGAATAGCTTTCAGACCTTGCGGTAGAGGCCATTCTATTACAGCAGCAAGCTTCTGGGGATCCATACGAAAACCTTTAGCTGAAATCAAATACCCCAAGAACTGGACTTCGGTTTGGTCAAACAGACATTTTTCTAGCTTGCAATAAAGACCATTAGCAAGAAGGGTCTTCAAAACTGTCGTAACATGTCTGTGATGAGTGTGTATATCTGCAGAATATATTAAAATGTCGTCCAAGTATACGATAACAAATGTGTGAATAAAATCTCTCAATACATCATTAATAAATTCTTGGAATACTGCTGGGGCATTGCAAAGCCCAAATGGCATAACAGTATATTCGTAATGACCGGATCTAGTGTTGAATGCAGTCTTCCATTCGTGATTTTCCTTTATACGTATCAAATTGTATGCACTCCTAAGGTCTAATTTAGTGAACACAGTGGCATGTTTCAGCCTGTCAAATAATTCTGTAATCAAAGGTATAGGGTATGCATTTTTGATAGTGATTTTGTTTAGATCTCTATAATCTATACACGGTCTTAAATCACCTTCTTTCTTCGATACAAAGAAGAACCCTGCTCCAGCTGGAGAAGAGGATCTCCTAATAAACCCTTTTTCTAGTGATTCCTTGATGTACTCCTCCATGACACGGTTTTCTTGAACCGATAAGGGGTACACCCTGCCCTTTGGAGGTATAGTGCCAGGCAACAAGTCAATAGCGCAATCATAGGGTCTGTGAGGTGGTAATTTCTCAGCCTCCCTTTTATCGAAAACAGTCTTTAGAGATAAATACCGAGGGGGTATAACCATAGACAAAGGAGGACTGGTAGGTACCTCAATAGAATTCAAAGGTGTGACTTCCAACGTACAAGACTCGTGGCAGGCCTTACTCCATGATTTTATTTGCCCTGTCTCCCAGTCAAAAATGGGATTGTGAGCACATAACCATGGATACCCTAATACTAACTGTGAAGAGGGAGAGGTGATAACCTGGAATCGAATGGTTTCGTAGTGTAAAACCCCTGTGTACATGTGTAGTGGTTCAGTCTCATGAGTAACAACTGGAGAACTTAATGGTCTACCATCTATGGCCTCAACGGCCAAGGGTATCTCCCTCTCTCTGATGGGAATGTTGTTTCTCTTTATAAAGCCAGAGTCTATAAAATTTTCAGCTGCCCCAGAGTCAACCAGAGCATATATGTTGTCAACTATACAAATCTCTCCCATATATAAAGAAACCGGGAGAAGCAAGCGGTTAGGAGGCAATTTAGGAGACTTAGATATCACACCCAAGGCCAGTCCCCTATAAGGTCTTAGGTGCTAGAGTTTTCCGGGAGTAAAGGACATTCCTTTACCATATGGTCTCTCCTACCACAGTATAGGCAGAGTCCCTCCCTTCTCCTATGTAATTTCTCAGTATCAGAGAGTTTGGCAACCCCTAATTGCATAGGTTCCTCCTCAGACACTTTAACACTCTCTGGTATATTAACTCTGGGGTTAATGGGTGTAACAAAACGCCTATTCCTGTTCTTGGTATAGAGCCTGTCACGAATTCTATTATCAATATCAATGAGGTAATCGATAAGGTCCTCTAAGGCAATAGGAAGCTCCTTAGCTGCTACCTCATCCAATATCGTATCTGACAAACCTTCCATAAAGGCAGTAGTTAACCCATTGTTGGTCCAATCTACCCGCGAAGCAAGAGTGCGAAATTGAATAGCATAATCAGCCACAGACCTAGAACCCTGTTTAATTCTCATTAATGCTCTTGCGGCATTCTTTGACCTTTTCATTGTGTCAAAAGTTCTACGAAAAGCCGTAAGAAAACTGTTGAAATCATGTACCATAGGCCCATTAGCTTCCCAAATAGGATTTGCCCATTCTAGTGCCTTATCGGTAAGTTGGTGCATAAAGAACCCAACCTTAGACCTCTCTGTGGGAAATGAACGTGGATACATTTCAAAGTGAAATTCAATCTGATTAATAAACCCTCTGCAAGTCTTAGAGTCCCCTCCATACCTAGGAGGAGGTGTTAAATGGGCCGAAGTATTAGGCAAAGTAGATACTTCAGGGAGAAGGGGAGTAGGAGGGTTAGGTGTAGTTGCGGGAACGGTTCTAGCTAGAAGCGTCTGGAG